CAAGGATAAAAAAAATAGCCACAAAAAATAAAATTTAAAAAAAAATTAATGAAATCCCTAGAGCAGATGCTCCACAAGATTTTTGAGAAGGGGACTCAGGACCAGGATTTGTCTCTGCCAGGAGGAGCAGAGGGGCYGGGAAGGGAGCCAGACCCTTCCAGGGGGACATGGCAAGAGAAGGGAAAAGGAACAGCGAGAACTCCAAGGAACCCTTATCAAAGAGAAATCCAGCATGTGAAATCAGGGACTTTCTGGAGAGCTCTTAAAAGAAGCATTATAAGGGAATGAATTCATTTTACAGCTTAAAAATAAAACATAAAAAATGCGTGGCACTCTGCCCTTCCACACCATCAGAAATAAAGGGGTATGAAACGCTGGGAACTGTCCCCAAGCTCAGGCTGAACTTTTTTGGGGTCATTTTTCTCTCCTTTGAGGGGCTCAGGGAGCACAAACCCCATTTATTTTGCTGTGCCCTTCACTGACCCACGAGGCTGGAGGTGCCTCCTCCTCCTCAGGGTGTCCCCAKGGATGTGGCAGTGCCCTCCATCCCTTCAGAGCCCATTTCATGCCCCACCTTCATCCAAACCCCCCCATTTCACTGCCCTTCACCCCAGAACCAGCACCCACCCAGCGACCTCACCTTGGGCACAGCTCCAAGCACAAAAAACAATTYTTTTTTTWWTKCTGGGGTTAATTTTCCAGGGGYTGGAGGGGATCCATCCCTGCAGATGGACAGAGTGCCATGCCAGGAGCACGCAGCTGTTGTGGGGTCACTCCTGGCCCCAATCAATCCGGCTGCAAAATGCGAGACAACCGCATCCCGAGTGTTGCGACATCACAGAATTCCCCCAAATTCCATTCAAAAYGTGTAAATACTGCAGCCTGGGAGCCCTGGCCACACCCAGAGCCATGGGGTCCCCATGCTCTGTCTGAGCCAAATCACCTCAAACCCGGGTGCCCCCCAAAATCAGCCCAGGCTTTTGAAAACCATCCCCAAAATCAGCCCAGGCTTTTGAAAACCATCCCCAAAATCAGCCAGGCTTTTGAAAATCATCCCCAAAATCAGCCAGGCTTTTGAAAACCGTCCCCAAAATCAGCCAGGCTTTTGAAAACCATCCCCAAAATCAGCCCAGGCTTTTGAAAACCATCCCCAAAATCAGCCCAGGCTTTTGAAAACCACCCAAAACAACCAGCCCCCAAATTCAGCCTAGGCTTTTGAAAACCATCCAAAACCATCCCCAAAACCAGCCCAAGCTTTTGAAAACCATCCCCCAAAATCCACTCAGGGTTTTGAAAACCATCCCCAAAATCAACCCCAAAACCATCCTCAAAAATCAACCCAGCCTCTTGAAAACCATCCCCAAAACCATCCCCAAAACCATCCCCCAAATCAGCCCAGGCTTTTGATAACCATCCCCAAAGTCAACTCAGGGTTTTGAAAACCATCCCCAAAAACAGCCTGAGTTTTTGAAAACCATCCTCAAAATCAACCCAGGCTTTTGAAAATCATCCCCCCAAAACCACCCCTAAAACCATCCTCCAAAACCAGCCTGGCCTTTTGAAAATCATCCCCAAAACCATCCCCCAAAACCAGCCCAGGCTTTCCAAAACCATCCCCAAAATTAACCCAGGCTTTTGAAAATCATCCCCCCAAAACCATCCCCAAAACGAGCCGGGCTTTTGAAAACCATCCCGGCTTTTGAAAACCATCCCCCAAAACCATCCTCCAAAATCAGCCTGGCCTTTTGAAAATCATCCTCCAAAACCATCCCCAAAATCAGCCCAGGCTTTTGAAAACCATCCAACACAACCAGTCAGGGCTTTTGGAAACCATCCCCCCCCAAAACCATCCCCCAAATCAGCCCAGGCTTTTGAAAACCATCCCCCAAAATCCACTCAGGGTTTTGAAAACCATCCCAGAAAACCAGTCTGGGCTTTTGAGAACCATCTCCAAAATCAACCCAGCCTCTTGAAAACCATCCCCAAAACCATCCCCCAAAACCCACCCAGGCTTTTGAAAACCATCCCCAAAATCAGCCCAGGCTTTTGAAAACCATCCCCAAAATCAGCCTGGCCTTTTGAAAATCATCCTCCAAAACCATCCCCAAAATTAACCCAGGCTTTTGAAAACCATCCCCAAAATTAACCCAGGCTTTTGAAAACCATCCCCGCCTCCAGCGCAGCGAAACACCCACACCACAGCGAGCCGAGTGTTTAACAACCCAATCTGTCTTTATTTTGGAAGTACTTCCAGCTGGGAAAGGAAAATCCTCACCTTTGCAAGTACAGCCGAGTGGTGAGAGAAAGGCAAGTGTGTAAAACAAACCAGCAGCAGGAGGAATGTCACAAAAATGTCACCTTTGGGCAGGACACCTTCTGCTCCTGCTGCCAGAGCTCTGCAYGTTGGCTGTGCAATGGATTTCACTTGCTGGACAGAGATTCCCCTAAATAAGGACATTTCTTGGGAATGTAAACAGAATCAGACACGTGAAACTCTCCATAGAAAAATACAACCTCGTAACAACACCASGGAGCGAAGGTGTTTTGTGAGTTTTGGGTGCAGCAGCTGCTCACAGCAACCCCACAGATCAACCCAACCRTYTCACTGCCCCAAAATGGGTGGATTTACCCCCAAATCTCCCTTCCCAGTCAGCCCAAATTTGGGTTATCTCTGGGAGCACAGGCTGGGTGCTGTGGGACGGGTAAGAGCTGAACAAAGGAGCTCCAAACCACAGCGAGAAAAGATTTTCTGCTGCTCTCAGAGCATCCCCTGGGTTAATTTTTCCCGGTTTCCCCCAGTTCTGGCAATTACAGACATCTTGTGACACTTTGAAGCATTTCTGATACGACACACTATGAGGACAGCGATGTTTCAGGGTGGAATTTTACCCCACTTTGACACACGATGGCAAAAAAATCTCACCCGAATACAGAATTAATTTAACGAGCCACGTTCTTTATGTAGCTGCACACAAAAAAAAAATAAATCAGTGCCACCATCCACTGGGCCCCTCCAAGATAAAACAACAGCACCAAACTGAGCTGATCTGGCTGCTGATTTGAACTTTTTAAACCCAAAACATCAGGAAACACAGAATTATCTGAAACAGGGTGGGATCACCCAGACAGCACAGAACTATTTTACAGAACCATGAACTCTGAGTTTWAGGATAAATCCGAGGCAGACACCAAGGCTGCTCACAGGTCACTCCCCAAAATCCATGTGATGGATTGATGGGCAGGTGACACTTGGCTGCGACACCATTGGCAAAAACAGACCAAAGAAATGCAGGATTTGGGAAAAAAATGCACTTAACTCGGGCACAGCTACGTGGGGAAAGCACCACCAGGAAGAATTGTGAGTCCCAAACTGCTCCAAACCCAGGAGAATGCTCAGAGCTCCCAGCCAGCAGCAGGGGTGGGGATGAATAAACCAAACACCTGAATTYGGGGTATTTTTTTGGTTTTCTGCAGCTGGGGCTGCAGTTTGGAGCTGCTGTTATGCTCCTGTCCTTTATTTCAGGGCTGTGCTTTCCTGGAAAAGCCAAAGGGATGTCCAGGGTGTTCCACAGGGTTGGGGTTTAAATTTTTTAGCTGCAAACCCAAAGCTGTGCATTTATGGACAACCTATGGGTACAAAAGAGGAAGTGAATTGCACACAAAGAGTTCACAATTCCCCATTTAACAAACGTGAACAGATTGGGGCTGAACACATCAATAAACCATTATCAGACATTTAAACATGCCTGCCTGATAGTTACAAACAGYTGGGACACACAACTCCACCTTCAACCATTTTTTTTGAGTTTTTGCAAGAAAAACAAAGGTCTTCTCTAACTTGAATGTGAAGACACAAGAACRATATGACTTATGAAGCCAAACTCTCAATATAAACACATCTCTGTATCTGTTCACTGCAGAGCAAAACCAACTGGGAGCAAACTCTGAATTTCCCTTTACAAAACTTAAAAAAAAAAGTGGCGATAGCTTTGTGTAGAAAAAAMCAAAAAAATAATATATTTCCAACATACATCTGTCACACCTCAGGCTAAAGGACTGCATTTTCTACTCTTCTTAGTGCTTCTATGCAAACCAAAGGCACCTTTCTTATGGGATGGGGCTGTGAATCGGGACGGGTTTTTTTGGGTTTTTTTTGGGGGTTTTACAGGGAGGGGGTGGCAAACGGCCAAGCCAATGTCCCTGCAACCACAACGAGGAGGGATTAGCAAACACTGKCACTGGCAGGGCACAGAAATCATCTCCAAAGGGCCGTGTGTGAGAGCAGCTGGCAGCACACACGGGGGCACAGCCAGGGGAAAGGACCAGGCTGCTTTTAACAGAGATGAGGAGGAATTGCAGCTCTGCAAACCCTGCAGGGACACGGCCGTGCCTTCGTGCTGGGGATGAGCACTCTGCCCACCCCTGTGACCCCCCARTGGCACCCACAGCTGCCAGCCTGCAGGGCAGAGGGCTGGCACTGCTCACAAGGGCTGGGTTTTGCCTGAAAAATCAAAAATTTTCACAGCGGTGGGGCCGTTCAGGATCCTCCTCGTGGTGGGACAGCGACTCTGGAGTGGTTTCCCCCTTCTCTTCCATGCAGGTGAATCTTCCTGAAGCAGCAGCAGCAGGGGTGGGTGAGCTGGAGGAGGAGCAGGATGTGGCAGGGATGGATGGGGCTGCAGGACAGGCAGCAGTGCCCAGCCAAGGCTSTGCCATCACCCATCCCATGGGGGAGCAGTGCTGGCTCGGCTCACACACGGCATTTTCCTTCAGCACAGCCCAGGGAAGGCAGGAGGGAGCTCCTGCAATGGCCACCAGCTCCAGGAGATGCCCAGCTGCTGTGGCAGTGCCCTCCTGCCCAACACAGCCAGGATTTYGGGTCAGATGAGGAACAGCGGGACGCTCACGGCTCCTGTGGCATTATCCCAAATCCCAGAACGGTGGGACACACCCAGGGCACCCAAACACAGCTCCCCTCATCCAGCCCAGCTCCAGGGCACAGAGGGGATGGGTGCTGGCACCCACACGGGCACCAGGAGCTCAGAAAATCACTCKGTCCTCCTGCGTCCTGTCCCACCACAGGCTGCTGTTCAGGGTGCCAAAGCTGCTGTCCTCCTGCTCTTGCTCCTTGGCCAGCTCCACAAACACCTGGAAAACAGAGAAAAAACCCCACAGTGCTTGTAGGAACCTGCTTGGCCACAAAAACAACTCCAGCTAAAAACCTCATGAGTAACAAATGCATTGCTCCATCTCCGAGCTGCCAATTCTGAGTATTTTGAGGTTTTTCTCGTTACTCATCCCCTCTTTCCCTCGACAGCACAATGAAAAGGAAGCCCAACACCAAAGGACATTAATTGTCAGCGATAATTAATCCACAATAAGCAATAACAAGGCTCAGCTTTGCCCTCCTCCCAGCCACAAACAGCAAACCCCTTCTTGGAATAAATCAGGGCAGCATTTCCACTCACAGCACACTTTTACCCTCTTCCAGTCACTGCAGCTGATTTCTTATTTTTGAAGGGGAAAATAGGAACAAGGAGGAGCTGGAGAACTGGCAGCAGTGATTCACTTTGGGAAAGGGGAATTTGGGTTCCCAAAAATGCCCCACAAGGCCCCAGTGACCCCAGAGCAGAGCAGRGGGGATGAGCTGCCTGCACAGRGCCCATCATTATGGAATTATGGAWTGATTTGGGTTGGAATGRACCCTAAATCCCAWCCCATYCMAMCCCMWYCMWKGSMRGG